GCTGTAATAGGTAAACCCCAAAAATGTAAATAAAAAAACGTCACAGATATTTCTTGATTATAGGGCTATACGAAGTTCGCCAGGTCTTCTAGTATTATTATAATTTACTGATACAGGCCTAGCCTAGTGTGGACGTCAACGTATACTGTAAATTGCATTGTAAAGTATCTTTACAAATAAATAAATAAATAAAAATAAAATAAAAAACAATAATATTCTTAAATAAAGAATTCTATCAAGAAAAGCAAACCTTGCGTTTTCAGCAAGCAAACCCACAAACAAACTATTATCTCGTGAGTCATACATATACTATGAAAAGTCGTAAAACAACATCAGACTGAATCAATAACTGAACGTACTTTAAATAACTATAGAAGGCAATAACTAACTTGATCGAGTCGAACTGTAAAACATCTATATAAAAATCATTTCCTCCATACAACAAATGAAACAGTTTTTTAACTTCACCCACGTCTCATCTGATCTCGTGAGTCTTCACTGATTTGGGGACGTTGGCATCGTAATGGACTTAAATCTATAAACTATACATTGAGGATTGCTGTTTGTGATTCAAAGACGAATTTTCATTTCAGTGACAACAAATAAGTAATGTTTTGGAAAATCTTGAACATCTCCAAACAGTATCTTTATATAGAAGAATTTATTAAATATTTTCTTTCATCTACATATATAAAATAAAGTTGTGTTACTTAAACTATTTATAACTTTAGAACGGGTGTAGGGATATGGTTGAAAATTGGCGGATAGATAGCTTAGAACCAGGAGACGCAGATAAGATATATATTTTTGTTCGATCAAAAAATAAAATACTTAATTAACTCTAATATCCGGTTATTTACGGCGTCTTAGGTAAATAAGTTCGCCCGGTCAGCTATACATATGTTACTAACTCCGAAATTAACGCGGACGAAGTCGCGGGCAAAAACTAGTATATTATAATATGTATAAATAAGGAAAAGAAAGATATACCATATACATAACACCAACACGACCAACACGAGTCACAGCACGATAGCTTTGATAGAAAAGCAACTGAAAGTTAAATTCCAGAAGTTACAAGATCAAACCTGTTCGCGTAGATGAACTTTTGTCTTCTTCTTCTACCTGGCAATTTCCCAGCTATAGCCAGGGTCTGCCTTATATGTTGTGAATAGTTTTTGACTATTTGTTTTTACGACCGGCCGCCTGCCTGACATCAACCCTCTTTTGGGAATCAACATTAATCAGTGATGTCTAAATACACTTAGAAAGTACATATGATTCGGAAAAATCACATTAGTACTTGCCCGGGCCAGGATCGAACCCGCGCCCTCGGCGACGAGAGGCGGGCCCGGTTAAAGGGCCCGGCTAGAATACAAAAGTTCAAAAGTTAATCAGTGAATTAACTTTTGAACTTTTGTATTCTATACATTTGAATATATTTGAACTTAATATGTCCACATTATTTTAACATTTAGTGAGTAATCATAGAACATGACTTACTGAAAATACATGCAGTTTCTAATAATCGATCGGTTCAATTACATATTTTTATAACAATTTTATATCTTACAAATGTTCCATTTAATTAAATCTATTGGACGATAATTGACTCGAGTTATTACTACATCATAACTAATTATAGATTTATATTAAACTAGATTTGAAACGGTAGGAGTTTATTAGTAAATACAGGTAGACTGTAGTAGACTGACACCATACGTAATACACTTTATTACCGAGGACTATAAGAAAACTACTAAAATATGCAGGAACGTTAAATTCCATCATGTTATGCATGCATAGAGTTACAAACATGCAAACGCATAAATATGTTCGTGAAAATAAAATTTATGATGTTAAAATAACATTCAGTTAGTCACGCATGCTTTACTTAATTATGTGTGACAATTCTTAAATCAAATCGCAACGTTCTGGGAATCACAAAATAACAATAACAAAATATAGGCCAAGGGCGGATAACAATAGCAAAAATTGTTTCTGCTATTTTAATACACTAATATGTCAGCGGTGACGCGGCAGCTTCTAATTAGATAATTTTTCATTCACAAATTTTATATTTGAAGTCTTAATATTGTTTTTTAATTATAGAAATACAAATAATGATGTAAAATAATAAGTAGTATCAATGTAACCATGAGAGTCGTGCTCCAAGTGATGGCTATATAATAAATTACTTAAAATTACTTTACCAGAATACAAGAGGTGATTGCCCTTATGAAAGTTCATCTGAAATGTAACTTTATTTCATTACATTCAAAGTCGGTTCTTGTTTGTAATCAAATTAAACGTAATAACATTATTATGTATTATGGTTGAGCTTAAATTGTATAATTTCCTATGGCAATAATTAACTGGCGTTTCTCTCATCATTATATTTAAATCAACAATTGTTTTATATAAATGTAAACGAATTAAAATCTTAATTGAACTTGAGTCATATCTACGAATTTTAGAGTATTTTTTTGGTTACAAACATTATTTCGTATTGACCTTTTAAAGTCGTAAAATCAAAATAATTCATACTCAGTAATGATTTACTGTACTGTCTATTAAATACCCCGAATATCCCTTTTATATATTCTCTTATAGAAAAACCTGAAGAATCACTTTTCTTCTTTACAAGAACGTGAAATATGATCCGTTATCAAGGCAACTTGGCATTCCGCGCAAGTTTTGCTGAAATATAGCCGCAGTCGCTATTAAAACTATAACTCATTATTTATTAATTCAAATAGGAAATGCAGTTTATTATATAAATAGAATTTGGTAAATTGTGTACAATAAATACAAACACTGTAAAAGTTTCTCATAGAAGTGAACTAGGAGGCAATGCAATGTATCTATTCAAAAGTAATACCGACGTTTTATAATACCACTATTGTAATTTTAAAGAGATATATTTGTCCAAAAGAACTGAAAATAAGTTCAAAGGTAAGAGGTCTTACAAAAATTATAATATCACGTATGCATTAAATACAAAAATATAATCTTAATTACCATTTTAAAATGATCCTTTCCTCACTATACACCGTTAGTAACAGAAGCATGGAACTAACTACGTAATAAAACGAAAAATAGATAAGAATTTTTGAGTTTCACCGGTTTTGAAATACATTAAAGATCTGTAACGAAATAATTAGAGCGTTTAATTTTTTAAATAATCATATCTGATATCAAAGGATTGTAATAATAATGTTATTTATAATATTATGACTTTTGTAATTTGTAGCGAGCATTAGTTTCCTCGCTGGTGTGATGTGATTCACCTGTCACATTTATACAACTCTTTGATGTCGGTACAACTAATAAAGTTCACTGATTATAGAATTTTCTTTAAATATTTTATTTATCCGTCCGGGTTTAATGGTCCGTGTGAGTGTGAATGGGTTCGCAAAAAATATTTGTGATTATTTACTGCTGCTTAATTTACATCAGAAACACGTTTTGTTATTTTTGGTTATTATAGAAACATTTTTTGATTTTTCTATTTCTTATAAACATACAAACAACGCGTTTTATGTCAAAAAAAAAAATATTTCTTTGGCTTTTGATAAGATAAATATTGTTACTAATTAGGTTTTGTTAGCTATAAAAAACAAAGTAATCAAATTCGTATATTATCTTGTTGATAGATTAATCGCAACCAATTTCATAAATCCCAGAATTAAAGACAACATGTAAACTCATAGTTTCTCTATGAACATTTGTCTTTGATCTCCAAAACACTGTATAAAAATAATTTATTAGACCCATTAGTGTGTATTTATCAACGCTAATAAGTTCTAAGAAACTTTTGTAGCGTTTTTATTATTCCCGTGTTGCAAATCGTTTTTAACAAATATATATGTGTATTATATAGTTTGTTCTGACAAAATCTACTTTGTTATTTTATGTTGGCGATAATAGAAAAGTTTTAAAACTAAATATTATTTTTTTATCATCCGATTGTTTGGATAGAAGCAATAATGATTGAAGCAGCGAACTTGCAGCTAGTTACAAGCGACCGATCGCTCGTATTTATTCCGAACTTTACAGACTTTATTCATCGGATATCGACGGGAACCGAAACCCGATAAGTCTTTGTTTGTTATCCAAATTCATTCCTCCCCCCGAATGAATTACAAGAGTCAATAACGTTTGCATATCGAATGAATTAAAAAACTGTTTACATTATACGGGATGAGATTTGAACGGTTATAAAAAGACTAAAGCAATCCTTGTAATAATTATAATGAATGCATCCACTGTAATAAAGTAGCTGTACTTGATAAGCAAATAATCTACTAGGTATGGGGTTTTTAACAGTACAGAGAACATTTCCGAACCCACTTAGTATGTTATTAAAGTTCTCGCCTAAATATTTCCTTGGAAAATCTTCGAATCACTCTTTCAGTAATTAATCCTCTTCTATATAAAATAATTAAATAAAAATCTCCTTGTTAACGACTGGCCTGCTCATGACATTGCGGTGCTCCGGCGGACCGACAACGTGTATTCATAAATTACATCCGAGAGCCGCCCTAGTTATCTGGTTTACATAATTAATTCTTAGAACAACAGATTTACCAAATTATCTTACAGCTTCCTATTATAATTCGGTGCTCGCCCGATGACTAACTATCCCGAGTCGAGATAGCGAGCGTGGGCTCGTCCGACAAATGACGGAGACGGCAAACAAAAAATTATGAAACGTAGAAAATATGACACAATGGTATCGTTTCTCAAGTTCATAAAAATACCCAAAAAAATACACCAGCACAAACAGAGCCTATGATACGTCGATAATTGATAGAAACACTGCCAATATAAAAAGTGCCTTACGAACAACGAACTGTATGTGAAAAAATATAATTATATAAAAAAAATAATAATGAAATCTGGTGCTTCGAAACAATAAATAGAGTAAAGGAGACAAAAATAATGTTAGTGAAGAAGACGGGACAAACAGTGTGTGATCTTGGACTGAACCGTTTAAGATGTTAGACGTTTTCCGCGGTTTAAAGAATCTCATTAAGGTGAACTATGTACACATCGACTCGCCGGTGTTCAGGCTACACTACTCCATTACCGTGGTGCTGCTTGTGTCGTTCAGCCTGATAGTGACGACGCGCCAGTACGTCGGGAACCCCATAGACTGCATCCACACCAAGGACATCCCCGAGGACGTGCTCAACACCTACTGCTGGATCCACTCCACCTACACCCTGAAGAGCTTCTTCCACAAGAAAGTGGGAGTAGAAGTCCCTTACCCCGGCATCGGGAACAGCAGAGAGAAGGGAAAAGAAGACATGAGCGACAGAAAGATATACAAATACTACCAATGGGTCTGCTTTTGTCTGTTCTTTCAGGTGAGTCAGTTATTTTATGAAATATATATCGTATAAATTTTCAACGTCCCAAACAGAATAAATAAAGGAATAACAGTGGTTTTGTAGGTATATAGAATGTGGATCATATCCACTTTAAGACAGGTGTTGCGTTCCACAGTTAGTCATCGCAATTATAATGAATTTCAATACAAATATTGTTTAAATTTCAAATACTCATTAACGTTTTCCGTTTAGTAACGGAAGCTTCGAAATAGTTATGCTGATTGATCACTTAGTATTATTATAGATGGTTAGCGATCACAAAACTTGCCAATTTACATATATATTCCATATTGTTGATTGATTTCAAATATTTTGAAGGAATTCTCAATTTGTAATATGACGTTAAAACAGATATAGTAAAGTGGGTTAGGTTAAATATAGCTCGATAAGGTAAGCTGTCGCAACAGACAGACCTGCACAAAGCCGTCGGACTGTTTACAATCCCGTTTCACAATTTTTATTATCTACTTTAATGTACCGTTAAACTTTTTAATCTGGGTCGTTAATCATGCGGAATTTGGGCTAATCATAATATTTCGGCTGGCAGCACTGGTATTTTGATATGTCAATTTGTTTTGCAGTTTTCCTGATTTTGGGGTTATAATAACATTCGACTGGCAACTCTGGTATTTTGATTGTTTAACTTGTTTGTAGTTTTATAATGAAAAAGTTATCTTCATTCTTCTCATAAATTTTATGTGTTTTGCGGTTTTAAAACAATGGAACGGTATATTTTTATTAATACATCAACAAGGTTTTACCAAAACAAAACAGTGATCTAAATAAGATATTTATTTATGACTTATTTATTCAAATATAATTATTGGCTTTTATTAAAATGTACCTGTTACGATCCGCACACTACATTATTGATCAACATAATATTTTTAACTCAGTTAAACAGCGGATTTTTTTAAACAATGTATTAAATTCAAACCTTCCAAAATATTTATTTAAAATGTGCTTAATCCTATCAACCACCCATAACATGCTTGGGAAATGAAACATTATGCAGATAGGTTTGTTTTTTTACTGAAACAATACAGCCAGTCGGTAAAGATATGATGGGCTTAGGTGAAATGTCCCTGATGTGTGTGGTGGGAAAAGAAAGTTTAAAAAATACATAGGAATGTAATTCATAAACGCTTGCTTATGTTTAAAACTATTGGAACCCATTCATTAATTGCCAATAATTTCATATATTAATGAGTACTTTCTTTTTAAACAGACCGTGTTACATTTCATCCTACCTACCATACATTCTGAATGTATCGGTAAACTTTAAAACACAGTTAACAAAGCTAACACCTTTCCTAATTAAAAAATCAAACACTACTCTCGTTCCCATACATAAAACTATTAGTATTTTATTATCATCTGTTTCACTGAACATCAAATTGTTTACACAAACCACAATTACCACGGCTTCCAATGTAAACTGGCTCATTAGCCGACCGCTTAGGTACTTACAGAATTGTACACCAACATATACTGTTATGTAGTTTATCAGAAAGAATACGATTTCATTCCTTAAAGAATACATACAAAAGTATTATTTAACAATATTATTATTATGAAGTTACAAAAGACCTTGTAAGCGTGTTACACGGATGAGAACACCTTCAAGCCAGACCAAATAAAACTCGAGACATCATTAGTACAATATTATCAAACGAAGCGTTCATCTTAATACCATGTTTTGCATTCGCCGAACAGACGCCATTTTACAAATGCGACCTAATTTACCGTTTATTTTCCATCATAATGGTTACTAGTTATTTTTAACCGACTTCCGAAAGCGTTTTGCTGGACCTAGCACGGTTAACTAGAATACGATACGCTTGTACCCACTACTTAGATGCTATAGGAATAATATATATCATAATTTATATAGAAGTCTGAAATTGACATTTTCTATCTTAAAGAATGTTTCATTATAGTATATTAAGTCATTACTGAGACATCATTACTAATATTCTCATTACACTAATGTAAAATTGAAGCCCTACCTTCGTAAATGAGATGACTTTTTGCTCTCTTCTAGTATTCCTATATCGACTACTTATTTCAGACCAAAATTATTAAGAAACAACGAGCCACTTCACACGTGACGTGATTAAAATTGCATAATAGAAGCACCCAGAAGATATTTTAAAGACAGACTATTACAGAGAGCCGTTATAAAAATGACAACCCTTGACGAGCTGATCGAAATATCCTCAGGATGTAAAGCATCATGTTTACAGCCAACGTCAACTGATTTCATGACCATATACCTTGACTCCGGTTTTTATTCTGGATATCGGACACTGGTTAGGAAAATGAGTATTATATTTCATGAAACTTCAATGCTGGGTCTATTTTGTTGTTTATAGCTCGTATATATGTATAATTTATTATAGAGTAGAATATGACTTTAAAACAAACTGTAATCATTATCGAAGTCAATAGAATTGTCCAACAGCGCAGATAATCCACTCCGAAGTACCGAATAGCGCGGATCCAACATAATACGTATAAAATGTATTGATAATGTATTATCTGGTATCTTTATTAACACTATAACATAAAAGTGTTTCTTTATTACCACATAAGCTCTGCTCTAATCTCGCGAGAATTTGGCACACGATACAAAGTCTGATATCTCATAGGAACTATAAGGAGTTTAACTTAAAAATAGTAATGGATTGCTTTTAGATGTTTACAATGATTTATATATGGCAAAATTTATTTACTTTCTGGAACTGGAATATTCCATATCTGTTAGCTTTTAGATCATAAATCTATCAAATATACACGCTAAATAACCAAAATGATTGTTTAAACTTTAGAGACAAGGAAAGACTTAGAAAGGTCTATCAATTAGTACGTTATAAAAAAATAGGAAAACCTTTTGAAGCACTATCAGTACAATATCCTCTGTCAAAGATCCCTGCGAACAAATACGGGAGACACAAGCAAGGCTGCCAGTATCAGCTGGTTGAGTCGTAAAACTGTTACGGTGATTTACGCCGTCTCTTTTAGAGAAAAAATATTTAACTACTAAATATACATAAAGAAAATTCCTTTAATTTTTTTATCGTTGAACTTTTATCGCATAATTTAAGCAAAATCAAAATGGAAATGCATTCTGTCTTAGAAATAGAAAATCTAAAAGTCGTGTTGTACTTATTTATGGTTAAAGATACTTTATTTCTCAAAAAGATTAGTATTTATCCAAGAAGTACTTATTTGTGATCCTAATTTTACATTTTTAAGCATCTAGACTTAATAAGAGAAATAAAATTATATTTTTGTGATGTGACAGTAAGGCAATGTTCTAAAATACGTCACAGCGTTTTTCATTACCGCAAACGCGCATAAAAAAGTGCTAATAATTGTATTTTTATTATAAAAAACACTAAAATATTTACAGTGGAAGAAAAAGACACTTAAACATATTTCTTATTTCCAATTCTACGATTCTATAAACCCATCTATGTTCTATTTGGAAGAAATACCTCGGTGACGTAGGAAATATAGTCACATATTGTGGCTTTGTCTCCCCTCGTATGCTGCAAAGTGAACTATACCCTCGGGACGCAGGCTCTACGTAAAATCATTAATTACACCCGCCATATTTGTGAGAGTGCCAAGAAATTTGGAAGCAAATAATATGAGAAACAAATCACATTCATATTATTTGTATGCTTTTAAATATATATACTAATTTTAGATTTTCTCTTACATTATAATATTTTTTTTATACACGGAGTCAGTAGTGTATATGTACTTTGTCGGTTCTTTGAACTTATCGGTCGCGGAAAGTAACTTGAGAACACAATGCTAAGAAATCTACCAGGTACATCAACCTATGGCTTAACTTTTTTTTTACAAGCCATATTAAAAACAAACAGATAATCACATATTAAAAATCATCAAACAAAACTTCAATTAATATTGATAAATTATTAATATTACATAAGTGAAAGTAACAAAAAATAAACAAAGAACATAACCAAAGCAAAGAACAAAAATTCTCAAGTTTATATAAATAATAAATATATTATTAATATTATATACCCAATATAACACAATGAATCTTAACTCCAATATATGTTTTAAGTTTGTTAGTCAAGTCGCTGCATTCATAATATCTGCCAACAAACAGAATAACTAAGACTTAAGTACTTAGAAAATTAAGACTTCATATTTATTTGGTTAATTATAGATAACTGTTAGTTTTCTAAATTCTATTTTTTTGTTATTTTGTTATAAATAAGATAGACTATATAAGTGCTGCTAAAGATAACCAGCATGCATTGTGATTATAGCAAAAATCATCCCATTATAATGAGATCTGAGGCTTTCATTTAATTTAAACTAAGATTATTCGGATTATTACGCGTATTTTACTATTTTAAAACTGCGTACTCCCAAACTTTCGGTTACTTTTCAGCAACCGTGATCACTGACAGACGAGATGTTGATGAATAGTAACCGAAACTTTGGGAGCATGTAGTTTTAAAATAATAAAATACACGTATTAATTCGAAGAATACTGGTTTCATCCCATGATAAGTCTATATGCCTCAAGAAGTCCCCGCCCGTAAAGATATTCTTTAACAAGGTGGCGGTCATGTTTTCGATATTGCAGAAGCAATAAGAATCTCCGGGATACAATATGCCACCAACCTCACAAACAAGAATTCCCCATTTCCACCTATAACGTACTCACGATACGATCTTAGTAACATGTTCTTTGACTTGAAAAAGAATTAAGCTAATTAAGGTAGCATGTTCGAGCCCTACGTAAAACCCAAAGTCACCATGACCACATCTCTTCATATTTGTACTTCAGAGAAGTAAATAAATATTCCTAGGGTTCACAAAGGTCGTCCAAGCTCATCCGCCAACTTCTGCACATTATTATGGCCACTCAGAGGTTTCAACTAAAGTTCTTTACAACACCAGTAGTGTACACCACACATTCATTA